GGGAACAAGGATGGGTAGTGAAATGAGTTTGGAGGAACCAACCACAACATGCACTCTAATTGCATAATAGTTTCAACTACTATTGTTCCAAAAATAAGGCTGAAATGCGATGTTAGACTTACATTCATTGTTGTTTTTGTTGTTGGTTGCCGTCAAGCCAATTCCTACTCATGATGACCCCATGTGTAGAGAGTAGAACTGCACTTCATAGGGTTTTCAAGGCTGTGACCTTTTGGAAACAGATCCTCAGGGCTTACTTCTGAGGTGTCTCTGGGTTGGTTTGAACCTTCAACCTTTCAGTTAGTAGTCCAGCACTTAAACTTAACCATTTTCACCTCCCAGAGAATCCTTTACCCTCATTAGGTATATGAAATAAGTGGTAAAACACAGACCTCCATAAAAGCTCAAAATAAATCAGACACTTCTCATATACTCTTTGTTTGTGGGTGCTTTCTGAATAAGAACAAGTGGTTTTTTTTCCCTTTTGTTAAACTTGATAGTTTTATTAATTAAACTAATTTCATGACTATCTATGGATACACAAAATCCCATTGCTGTCAAGTCAATTGAGACTCATAGCAACCCTATAAGGCAGAGTAGAACTGCCCCATAGGGTTTCCAAGGCTGTAATTTTTATGGAAGCAGGTTGCCATATCTCTCCTGTAGAGCAGCTGATGAATTCGAACCACCAAACTTTGTATAGCAAAAACCAAACCAAACCAAACCCATTGCCATGAAGTCTATTTCAACTCATAGCGACCCTGTTGGACAGAGTAGAACTGCCCCGCAGGGTTTCCAAGGAGCAGCTGGTGGATTTGAACTGCCAACCTTTTGATTAGCAGCCAAACGCTTAACCACTGCGCCCAGCACTTAGTCACTGCGCTACCAAAATAATTACATTGTATCTAATATTTATTTTCTTTTGTCTCAACCTCAAAACAAATCAAACAATTTTTCTAATTTAGGATGATATATCTAACACTTAGCATAAGCATGATATAATGTTTGTGGCCTTTATGGATCCTTTTGGATTACTCAAGCGGTAAAATCATTTTTTGGATTCAGCCTTGTTTAGTCAGAAATTAGTTAAGACATTACCAAGAAAGGGCCATTCTAGTCCTAAATTGTCAAGTTAATAAGGTTAATCTAATTGCCCTATTCTTTTAGGTACCTCATTCCTGGCATCAGACAATTACACAACACTCCCCACACCCAGCCCTCTCTACCAATCACCCAGCTCCCTACAGCAGTACCTCTAAAATGTCTCACTTAGACTGGTCTTTCCTGGTTGGCATCTACCTAGCTGAGCACAATGAATGCCTTCCCATATCTGACCCCCTTTCCCTATGCTACTTCTTCCATAAGAGCCTTCACCCTTCAACCTCACCAACTATAAAAACAACTGACATGCTACCAAAAAGCGAATCTTTGCATTATCCCTTCAGGTTAGACATTCTCTTACTTTTCATTTGTTATGCTAATCTTACTCACTAAACTTTTAAAATAGTATAGTGCTAACAATGTTCTTCTACACATAGAGCCCTGCTGGTACAGTGCTTAAGAGCTATGGCTGCTAACCAAAAGGTCAGCAGTTTAAATCCACCAGCTGCTCCTTCGAAACCCTATAGGGCAGTTCTACTCTGTATTATAGGGTGCTATGAGTCAGAATTGACTTGACAGCAGCGGGTTTTTTTTGGTTTGGTAATTGTTTAATTTAACTAATTTAAATTTTAAAAGATTCATAAAAACTTAGATGAAAGTAAATAATTTGTTGAAATATTGTGAATAATTATATAGGAATATATGAAATAATAAATACTAGATTGCTAATATGGGTAACCTTGAGGTACAGGATGGGGAAGGAGGAAAAAGAAGGGATAAGAAAAAAAATAAAAAGACAGAACTAAAAAACTGTACAAATGATATGCTAATTTCCAAAAATTATATTTTCTGCATGGGTTGTTTGTATAGACAGCTAACCTTTAGTAAGTCCATGATGCATTGAGAGAAAAAGGAATTTGCAGAGAAATGTAAACACCACACATACATACATACATACATACCTCTGTGTATGTGTGTATGTGTGTGTGTGTGTATGTATGTGTGTTGAAACTATTCAATGAGATGATGAAATGAATGGAAGAAGAAGGAGATATCCTTGGCTGTTTACATTATTTACTTCAGGGGTATAACCTTGCATATGAGAATGAAGGATAGTATTTTAGCATGTATTTGTACATAATTTTGCTTGTTACTTCAAGCATGTATTACCTTTTATTTTGATGAATATTAAATGAAAATGTTTAAAAGGAAAAAGGTGGAGATGGAAGTGATGAATGGGAATCAGTTTGGTTAGGATATTTCAATGTTTACTTCAAGGCAACAATTTATTCATTTATGTGGATGACTAATTGACTAGAATTTATTAATAAGTTTTTCAATCATAGATTTATGAGTATGATTTAAAAATCTTGGTTATCTCTACTTACGTATCAAATTTCATTAAAATCGACTGAAATTTATAAAAAAGAAGCCCTTTTGAAAACATGTTTAAAAAACATTTTGTTTCCAGATGGCAGACTAACGCACAAAATGTAGTTAAGTGGTCTCTTTGGGGCAGTATACATAACTTCCTCTAAAATAATCAACTACTCTGGAAGATTTTATAGTATAAGTATGTAACTCAAAATTTCATTCATACTTTTTTAAATTCAAACTTCTTTGACCAAAATGATGAAAATTCAGCATGATTTGAAACTAATTTACACCATTAAAATAATTTCCTCCCTATTACTTTTCTAATATTGGCCGATAGGATTACATTACTTTGATCTATTTTATAATATAATTGTTCTGTTGATTAAGGTAAAGGGATATGTATTTATGTACCTACTGGAAGAAAGGTTATTTCCCATTATTTTTACATGTACATTTTAAAAAATAAGTTTTTCTGTCTTTAGCTATTTTTCCCTTTTTCCACGTTATCTATACTTGTTATTTTCTGCAAGACTAACATCAAAATTTTCATCTAGTTGAAGTCCCTAAGGATCCGTCAAAAGAAAGGGTCACTCGGCATTGTATTAGCTCATCACCATTTTATATGTAGATAGATATAACACTCATTATTTCTCCATATGGTTTGGGATTTTCCCCATTATTTTTGAACTGGTATTCCAAGTTACTTTCATCTTGAATTTATCTTAATAAATGCCTACATTTTGCCTAAGGTGAAGATTATAGTAGCCTTGATGCCAATGAAATAGCAGTTTCAAAATCTACAGGAACCCATTTAACCCAGATTGAAAAAAATGCCCCGTTTCTAGGCCAGACCAATTCTGTGCACACGTGAAAGATGTGCAAGTAGGATCCAGACTGTCTAATGAGGATCCACAAGGAATAAACCTTAAGAGTCATGAGAGTAAAAAACAAATACTCCAAGTTTCAACAATTCTAACATATTTTCATTTGAATTTCAGAGACTTCAAAACAATCAGATGTCTAATATTCTTTTTTAAAAAAGAATATTTACTTAGGGAAAGGAAGGCATTTTTACAGACTTCTTTGAACTGCTAAGCTCTTTATACTTTAAGAAATTGCTTTTGTGAAGGAACTGATATTGAGCATTCAGATTTTCAAATTTAAAAAATATATAGAGAAAAAATGCAATTACTGTGTGATGAAGAAGCATTACCCAGCTTTCAAACATAAACATTTAAAAACTTTTTTTCAATCCTGTTTTTTAGCATGTACTGTGAACTTGGCAAGAAATACAACCAAGCCCTTGTTAAGCTATATCTTGTTATTTCTGGTAAACAAGCATGTGCACATTCGCTTTCATACCCATATGCAAACACATTTTACTAGGACTATTCTGACATGTTTATTGCTTAGAGGCTTAGTTCCCTTAAATGCACAAGCTAGTCTCCATTCATGAACTTTCTGAGGGCCATCCATGTCAAAGGAGATTTGTGTGACAGTATTACAAGTTCCATCATGAGTGCCCCTAAATGAAGCCAAGGTAATGGAATACTAGCAGGGGTGGTCCAACGAGATTATTAGCCTAATTCCAAATCTACGTACTTGAAAGATCACCGCTTTGTAATGAAAACAGAAATATGCATTCTGATTTACATTTGAGTTCATCTATAATTTGAATATGTCTATTGGTATCTGAAAGAACTTAAATTATTCACTATTGGAAAATGTGCTAGCTTTAGGGTTTGAGACAAATGATGATGAAAGTAAGTTTAATACTGAACACTGGTGAAAAATGAGTCAATTTCTGAAAACAAGAAGTATGTGGAAACCAAGACCCACCTTGTGGATAAAGTCAGTAAGGGGATAAATATTAAGAAAAATGTCGTCTTACACAATACTATTAAAGTAATAAAATTTAATTGTGATCTCAGAAGAAAACATTCTTTGATGGTTAATGGTCTGACTGAGACTAGAGGAACCCCAGAAAGCATGGCCCCCAGATTCTCTATGAGCTCAGAACTAAAATAATTTCCGAGGCCAACTCTTCAGACAAAAATTGGACTGGGCTGTGGGACATAAAATGATACTCGTGAAGAGTGTACTTCTTAGCTCAAGTAGATACATGACACTAAATGGGCAGCTTCTGTCCGGAGGTGAGATGAGAAGGCAGAGAAGGTTAGGAGCTGGTTGAAGGGACACGGGAAATCAGGGGTGGAAAGGAAGAGTGTGCTGTCATAGTATAGGGAGAGAAATTAGGGTCACATAACAATGTATGTATAAATTTTTGTATAAGAGACTAACTTGAAGTGTAAACTTTCACTTAAACTATGATAAAAAAAAATTTAATTGTGATTTGGTTTAACATTTTTGGTTTCTTATCAAAGTTTCCCACATTCATGATGTCTCATTGTTTACTGACCTGCATCATTTTATTCGATGACAGACGTGCTAAAAGATCTTTCAAGGTTTTTTGTTTTATGCTTTTTGTCTCCCTTAACTATCACATTTTATCTCATTTCCAGTTGTGGACAAGGATGGAAAGGAAATCGTTGCCACATCAAATTTGACCCTCCTCCTCCTGCAGACTTCGCATACATGCAAAATAGTAGGTGACATTATGACTAAATAAATCGCTTGATCACGGTTCTCTGTTTTTAATTTTTCACTGCAAATTTATCTGTTTCATTGGCTTGAAATTCCAGGTATATGGACTCTCCTGGGTATTGGACTGGTTTTCCTGATAACTCATATTACAGTTGCTGTCTTGTGTTTTCTTGCAAATAGAAAACTACGAATAAGGTAAGTGATGCCTTTAATTGCAGGGCACAATATACTGTAGCAGAACAATTTTTGAGACTTTTTATTTGCTATATCTCCTTTCACCCCATATTACATGCAGGAAGCTTTAGTATTTCCATACTTTATGAATTTACTTTTCTGGGCAGAAAGCAGGGGCCCCCTGAGGATAATCACTTTTTTTTTTTTTTTTTTTTTTTCAGTAAAAAGCCTTAAGTTTACTTTTAAGATTATGTTAGGAGCATTTTTGATGACACTAAAAAAAAAAAAAAAAAAAAAAAAAGAACATGGCGTTCTCCACAAAGCACACAGAGAAGAGGGGAACAGCTGCACCCTTTTCTGGTGATATCTGGAGAAGGTAGCAGATCCTCACAGGAGAAGCCAAACTCTAGTCACCAATATTTGAAGCCTAAGACTCCAATGTCTTATGCAAGGCACAGAACGGAGGCCAAGAGCTGCTGTTCCCGAAGGAACTCTGCAGGCTGGGCTTATGTGTCACTCAGAGGGCCTCACAATCTACAGTGCCATATAAGAACCTCAAGAGTTTCCTACAGCCCCATGTGGGACACAGGCCACCCCAGTAATGAAAATTACTGACTTTCCCACAAACTCAGCAAGATAAGGGCTCAGAATAAGGTTTAATCAAAATTTTAAAAATTAAATGCATTATCTCTTTTTTTTAACTGAGGTGAGAATCACATAAAATAAAATTAACCTTTTTAAAGTGAATAATTCAATGGCATCTAGTACATTCACAATGTTGGACAACCACCACTTCTGCCTGTTTCCAAAACATTTTCAACATCCCAAAAGAAAACCCCATACTCATTAAGCAGTTACTCCCCATTCCTCCTTCCGCCTCAGCCCCTGGCAACCACCGATCTCCTTTCTGTCTTAATATTTCATATAAATGGAGTCATACACTATGTGATGTTTTGTGTCTGGCTTATTATCTCTTGCATGCCTGCATCTGTGGTCAGAGATTTAAGTCTGGTGCAATACAATGTATCACAGGGCAATGGATAACTCTTCAGTTTCCTTGGTGTCAACTTGTAAATCCCACTTGATGAATTTTCAAATCCTCAGCCTTAAATCATGTTAATTAGTAGGCACCAATCCTGATATCGTTAATTAAGGCCAAGTTATTATGATGTTCATTAGAAAAAGATACATTTTTAATCTATTTCTGTTAAGATCTTACCTAATTCCTCAAGTCCTCAATTAATTTTATATGCCACAATATGCCGGACAATGTGGGTACAAGTGTGAATCAGAAGCAATCTGTACTTAAAGAAGTTTGTAATCTAGTGGGACAGACTCATGAGCCACTAACTGACATAATGGTTGTGTACTAGATGTATATAAACAAGCTACTATATTAACAAAACCAGCGAGAGCACACAGAAAGAATGCTACACTTCACACCTTTTCTAGATTCATGTTGGACAACCTGCACCTTCAGGGCTACCAAGAAACCTCTCAGGCAAATGTTAGTGGCATCATGCTACAGCCTCACAGAGCCACCTCTCCTTTCTCTCTTCTGTATCTGTCATTCTTCTTCACTTTTACACTTTCCCTTACTCTTTGTTCCTCACTTTCTTTCTTTATTTCCATTTTCTCCTTCCCTATTCTTTTACCCGTCTTCTCTTCATCTTCCTTCTGTCTCCTCAGCCATTTTTCTTTCCTTTCAGTTTCTTCATTCTCTCCTTCTTCCCATTCCTTACTGGTATACCCAGAGTTTGCCTCTATATTTACTTCCCTTCCACTCTACATATACTTCATGGGAAATGTCATTCATTTCCAAGGTTCGCAGTGTCGTCTATATGTTAATGGCTTCAAATAATCTCTTTCTTACTGAAATTCTTTACTAAGCTCTAGATCCGTACAGTGATTTCAACCATTTGTTAGATTTCAACATCTGAATTTTTTCTAGATACTCTGATGTCAACATATTAAATATCAAAAAAGTCAGAACTGCACTAACTCATTGTGCAATGAGAAGTACCTTCCCACTACTGACAAGTAACTAGTAGTATAAGAAGATTCCAGCCTTCTCTCCCCCTGTTTTTGGTGTCGGTACCAACAGCTACCCCTTGAAAAAGAAAGGGGCCGGTATAGGTGTTTCAGAGCCATTCATGACCCTCACCCTCTTCTTCACTCCAAGCAGCCAGGGTCAAGCCTCAAGTCTGTAATGGGGAAAAGAGAGGGGACAAATAGAGCTTAGAATCCCTAAGATATTAATTAGAAGCTTTAAAGTGTATTGGACTATGTTTTAATCATTAAAAGTGACCAGAAAGTTATGAAATTTGCCCAAGATATGTGAATTGGACCAGGAAGTGGGGTGGGGTTGATGGTAGGAAATAATAATTGCAAAAATAGAAGCATTTTCATGCTTATAAACCACCTACTTAGGAGACCTCAATCAATCAGTTACCCAAGTCTTAGCCTCTGCTCCCTAATAGATTCATTAAATTAATAAGGAAGACCGAAGAAGAATTGATGCCTTTGAATTATGGTGTTGGCAAAGAATATTGAATATAGCATGGACTGCCAGAAGAACAAAACAAATCTGTCTTGGAAGAAGTACAGCCAGAATGCTCCTTAGAAGCGAAGATGGCAAGATTTCATCTCACAAAGCTTGGACATGTTATCAAGAGGAACCAGTCCCTGGAGAAGGACATCATGCTTGGTGAAGTAGAGGGTCAGCGAAAAAGAAGAATATCCTTGAAGAGATGAATTGAAACAGTGGCTGCAACAATGGCCTTGAATACAGCAAAGATTGTGAGGATGGGGCAGGACCAGACAGTGTTTCGTTCTGTTGTACATAGGGTGGCTATGAGTTGGAATTGACTCAACAGCACCTAATAACACCACTCTAACAGATGTAAGATGAGGTCCAACATCCCTATGAAAACCCCTATCTCTAATCTTCCAATTTACCTCCCTGCCCTCTTCCCTTTAATTGGTTCCTCTTCTGATTTCCAAACTCTCAGAAATAAAGGTTTACTTCTCCACTGCTGCCCAAAACAAATATCACACAGACTATATTCTCAGTCTTGCTATGATAGGCTAATCACTCATTCCACAGCTTGCACTGGGGGGCACATGCTTACGTTGTCCACCAGTGGGACTGAAGAGAGAGGGAGATCTTCAAAGCAACCACGCACCAGACCAGCCTCTGCCCAAATGCTAGGCAGACCAAAACCCAAGCTGCTGCAATTCATTCTACCAGGGGTCTTCAGGCTGGAGTATGCTTGCCCTGAGTTCTCAGAGAGTTTTCAAGACTATATGGGCACAAAATAGTTTCCATGGAGTCATTTTGCAGATCCTCAAATTTCATATATTCTCTACTGAAATGTAACTGATTGAGAAAGATGCATTTGGCCTACTACTCCTTTCTCATTTCCTCTTTCTCAGATTATCTTTCCCTTTACCTGGAAACTATCCTGACTCTTACTAAAACAAATAACCTCAGAGGGTAAAATATCATCTGGGGGGAAAACAGAGGAAGAATCTGAGACTCCAGCCTCCCTAAAAAAAAACTCATAGTAGCAAGAGAAAAGATTTGAGCTAAGATAACATGGAAAGGGGAGCCAGAGATAGATTCTTAGCAAATCTGCCCCCAACCTCCTCCTTAGACTTAGGAATCACAATTAATTGAAGTCTTTGTCATTGGTACATGATTTAATATATGTTTGAATTGAACAATGAAGTCAGACTTTTACGGGGGAAAAAAGCAAATCTAATTTGGCTGATTGGATAGATAGATAGCAGGATGCCTTTGTCATTTAGGTTAGATGGCAGATGTTTTCCATAATTTTAATGAGCTAAATTTTCATCTTTAAGATTTCATGAAAATATATTTAGAGTAATGGAAGCCCTGGTGGTATAGTGGTTAAGCGTTTTGGCTGCTAACAAAAAGATTGGCAGTTCGAATCCACCAGGCGCTCCTTGAAAACTCTGTGGGGAAATTCTACTCTATCCTATAGGGTTGCTATGAGTAAGTACCAACACAATGGCAACGAGTTTTGTTTTTTTTTTTTTTTTTAAGCAATGTAAAGTATTCCATACGTTATATCCTTTACAACTACTAAACTTATAATAAAGATTTTAAATATTGACTTAAAAATATAAAAGGAGATGCATAGTTTTTCACAATTAGTTTAGGGAGTACTCAAGCGAAAATGTTCAAAGACAACTGTGCTTCACTATGCTGCTCTCAGGTTTAGTTTTTCACCATTCCCACCCTTCCACACCCTACACTTGGGAAACCTCTCACCGTTTCCCCAAAACACATGGCTTTTCACATCCTTGTCCTGGCAGGGCTATCCCCCGCCATATGTTTTTGACATCAAGCAAACATTTCCTGACATCCAATCAGTGTTAGTCACTGAGTTCTCAAAACGGTGTCCTCCACATCACTGTTGTAACACTTATTACATAGTGTTGTAACACTACCTCCGTATTTTTCAGCTTTTATCTTTATACCCCCAGCGTCTAATGTTGTACACAAAGTTGGTTCCCAATAAAAGACTGCTGTGATTTATTGAGGATCATCTGTTCTTCTCTGCATGGCAAAAAACATTGCTTAAGTCCGGTGATTATATTCAAGTAAAGATGTGCACATTAAATTTCAGAAAAAAAAGGCTTTTGCATAAAATGGTTTAAGCCCTAAAGCAAGTTAGAATATTTGGGCAAGAGATGATTAAATGAAATAACAATAGTTCACCTTGAAAATAATACCAAAACTTTGAGATACAAAGGAATTAAGAAAAGCAGGAAATACATAGCCCTTCCTAAATAAACCTTAACATTGATATTTTCCGCTAGATTTTGTAAAAACTTTCTGTACAGAAGAGGCCCTTCAGTGACTTGAAATAAAAAAATGTTTTATTAATTTTTTAAAAACATAGGATGGAGTACTGTACTCAGACAATGCTAAGCACAGGAACAAGCCTCTTGAAGTTGTTTTCAGAAATTTGGTTTCCTGGGTTTTATTACAC